CTCATCAATTTTTCGCACCAGTTTCCTCTCAGAAAAGCCTCATCGTTCCGGCAGCGAGCGTGATGGGGTCGACATAGTCGACTTTCTTGAAAATTCACTCCGAAAAAGCGGCTTTGACGAAGTGAAGAAAGTGCCGTACCTCTTGGCGCACCCTCAGCCCGATCCCGAACATCCAAATAGTGTGAGTAAAATGTGAAGGTTTCTCCTATCCAACGCAAGTGCTTTAGTCGCTAGGTGACACTTCGCAGAAAAGATTAATGTTAGCTTCTTTTCTTTTTAATTCATAGTCGCGTTTTACTAGGGAGTTTTAGAAAACCTTAGCCGTGTTCCGCATACCGCACTACTGGAGCCTTTGACGTATGATTAAGGGCAACTCCGCTTATTTTCAAACATTTTGAGATAGTGGCCGATTTTGCTTTTTGAAGCACTCAAAAACAATCCCCGATCCTTTGTTTCGCAAAAAATAAAATATTTTTCGTGTAATTTTACTCTAGCCATGATCACAAACCGAAACCGAAACGGTGGCAAAGCCGGACAACATTGTATATTCGGCATCACTAAGCATGTACACCCACGTGATATACAAGGGGAAGAAGGAGCTCCCCTCTTATCAGGATCCTCCTTTGTGCCTCCTGGATTAGCACAGGCGTCGCTATTCTCCTCCCAGAAAATTACAGAAGATTAACCTGTCACTCAAAATTCTTACAAAAGCAGCTTCCCTCTCCTCCTTTTCCTTGGTGTTCAAAAGTATGCGCACTGAACACACAAGCCGCGCTCAACGAGGCGATCGGCTTGTCAGTAGTATCAATAGTCGAGCGCCGGGCCGGCCGAGCGCGTCACTCACGTCTTTCACGGCGCTGGCGCCACCCGTGCTCTCCCCGAGAAAGAAAACAAAATTGAAAAAAAAAAAAAAAAAAGAAGCTGCACATGTTTGATGACGTCGCGGACGTGGCGGGAGAAGGAATTTGGAGGAAGCGGAAATGCAGCCGGGCAGTATTGTCTGGCCCGCACATCTCATCCAAAACCAGCGGATTCATGCTTGTCAAACTTTGACAGCGATTTTAATGAACTTCTAGACGGAATTCCGTTGTAATATTTGCCATGGGGGTTTTGTAGATGGTAACAAAGAGAACTGTATGGTTTTGCACTACTGGAAAAGAAGCGGAGTTGCCCTTTAAGCGAGCGCCCTGAATTCACTATATCACTCTGGGCGCGCGCTTAAAAGCATGCTTTAGAGGCGCCGGTAGTGCAGTACGCGCAACACGGTAACGCTTTGCAAAATATCCTTATTAACTTTAGGTGCGTAGTTTGGGGCTCGTGCCAATATACCGTGAACACCAATTGGTGCGTCTCTTGGCATTTGTGGTAGCTCGAGTTTGTATCTCAAGGTAACTCACTGCAGCGTTCTCAAGGTAGTCAAACAAGATATATAAGACTTAAAGCAGCAAAACAAGTATTCGCTTTCGGGACACTTTTTCTTATATAAAATGTTTTTACCACCTTGTTTTTCTGCTTCAACATCACAACTGGCCACTACAGAACATGCTTGTGAGCATGTGGTGTTGCAGAATCGTGAACCGCAATGCACAGAAAACCATGCTGTCCCGTGGTCGGTATGGTACGCTTGTTTTAGTCGATCTTTATCAAATATGTTAATACATGAATCACACTAAAGATTTCGGCAATCGGGAGATTCGTGGGTCGCAATTTCTCTTTCTTCCCCGGTTCTGATCTTGTATGTACAGGAATTTTCGTTCGATTATGAGCTCTTTCGATCGTAAACCGGTTCATGGGCACATTCTGCGAACGAATTCAGTTTCTTGTTTCGGTAGTTACTGACGTATACGAGATAAAGAGCAGAGTCAACATTCCTATTGCTATCGCTCACCTTGGTAAGACCCCATAACTCAAAGTCAAAAAACAAAAGCACTAAAACATATCGTTATTTTTTACGCTTTAGTTTTATTAACAGGTAACAAAATAACACGTTGGTGAAGAAGCTTTACTGGTGGAGATATCTCATGTTGCCTGCAGCTGTGCGCCAATAGCTTTGACTGTAGGGATCCGGGTACCGTAGCGGGTTCTTAACTCTCCATTATCCTCGGCCGTAGTAACTTTTTTTGCTCATGCGAGACGAGTGCTACGTGTATCACTACAGCGCGATGCACGTCAAAGACCCCAGGCTAACAGTCTTGCTGGCTAACTTTGTCATCTACATCGGCGACACCAGACGCCCATCGAAGGCTGGTTAACTTCCAGCTGTCTAAACACGGAGACACACAACAAAACTACACTTACAACTAGACGGGTACATCGTGCGAATAACAGCGTTAACGCCTAGCAAGTTTCTGCTGTGTGTGATGTCGGTATATTCTTTAGTGCGCAAACAGATAATAATTCGTTTATCTCCATCTACATTGATGATGGAGGTCGGGGGAAAAAGCTGTAAAATACAGCTTGACAAGGACCTCGACCCCCTACATAAGCACAACAGCAGAGGTACAGAAAAAAAAATAAAAGCTTCTTCATGCGAAAATACAGAACGGGTGGATAATATACGAACACAACACACAAATAAAAAATATTGAAAAATCCTGGAAACATTAAACAAACCGCCAAATCACTGGTATTTTACCTGTCTAGCTTTACAAAATATTCTCTAAGTATGTTCTCAAGTATGTAGTTTAAAGTTTTGCACTAATATTTCGTGCTGATAAGACTTTGTTGAGTTCTTTCAGCAAAGAACAAATGTGGCAACATAGCTACGCAGTGACAGAAAATACAGGATTTTTTTGGTTTTGTTTTTCTTACAAGCATTGTTTTGTTTTTTTTTTTTTTTCTCGATTCCATCTCAGCGATAATTATATACACCGGCGTTTCACTCTTAGCTTTCTGCTTTCCTCACTGGTTATTGGGAGAGTAAATGTTTGGGAAAAAAATATTGCCGACTAAATGCCTTTCTAAAACCTTGGCAGAGGTAAAAAGTTAGCCAGTTAATGGGATATTTCTCCACTCGCGGCGAACGATATTTAAAATGAGAGCAACGTTGCGTGCTCGGGACGCGAGCGGTACCTCAGTAGATAGTAGCGAGTTTTAGAATAGGGAGCCCCAGAGCTTTGGGTGCCCCAAACAGCTTGGGACATTGCAATGGGCATGCGCAGAAGTTCTGCGCATGCGCACTCGGACACCCCAAGCTGTTTGAGGCACCCAAAGCTGTGGGGCCCCCTATTCTAAAATTGGCTAGTATCAGCGGGGAAAAAGTGAATATTGGAAGGTAGCATACGCGTTTCTACACCTCAGTTTATACATAATTTTGGCTCTAAATGTTGTTTCAGGTCCGACTGATTCATGATAACGGAACGGTGTTACTGGAGGCAAAGATGACTGAAGACAAGATTCCTGGGATTGATACTGATATCGGTCCGGCGTACCTGGCCTTTTCTGCTCAGGGAACAGTGGAGGTTTGTAGAGGCGCGACGAGTGCTTTTCCTTTTTTTTTTTTCTCTCTCTTCTGGTTATGTTTGTCGGTTGTGCTGACTAGGTAGTGCCCAGAGGTCTTCAATATCGAGTTTCCTTCATGAAATATTCCAGCGGAGTTTTATCACATGCCTATAAATGGTATTTTCCGGGCTTTTGTTTCGAATATTGAAAAAAAAAAACGATAATATCCGGGGAAAAAATAAAAGCGGGAGAAATGTTTTCGAGTAATGTTTCTACACGTATTAAAGTTTAAGACGACGTATAAAATGACGTCAAGCACAGCGTCTACGACCTCTCGGGCGACGTCAAGGACGACTTCTAGGGCGACCTCTAGGACGACCTTAGGGACGGCGTCTAGGACGACGCCGAGAACGACGCCTAGAGGAGGACTCGTAGGACGATCTTTAGGATCACGTCAAGAACGACGTCTAGGTAGACTTCATTCACGACGTCGAAAACGATGCCTAGCGGACGACGTTGAGAATGACGCCTAGAGGCGGACACGTGAGGAGCCTGTGGCGTGTTTGCGTGGTCGGCCACGTTTGCCTGCCGGAGCCGCCGTAGATCTAGACGCTGCTGACAATGTCGAGCCCGTAGATATAGACGCAGTCGCCTCACAGTCTATTGCACGAAGCAAACAACGAGAAACAGATGAAGTCCGAAGCGCACCTTTTGCACATGGCGCTCCTGCGGTGACATCACGCTGATGACGTATGATGACGCTTGATGACATCACGCTCATGACCTCGCTTGTTGACGTGTTTTTATGGCCATCCTTTGGTCACAACGCCGCTTGTTTTTTCACGTACTGTGACAAGGGAGGTCGTCCTAGAGGTCTAGGACGACTTCGAGGACGGCCGCAAGGACAAGCGTCGTCCTTCAGCATGCGATTAAGCGGCGCGTGCCGCTCATTCGCATTTTCATGGCCATTTACTCTGATTTGTCGCTCAATGGCGTTCGCCTTAAAAAGAAAAGAAAAAAGCTTCCCAGAAAGAAAATTTATTCATACAGTTTTATTTTGCGCTTCCCCGGAGCACGGCCCCGACTGAACTGTCCCCGAGGCTGCTTCTTACTGATTGTCTCGTTTCTTTCTCTTGTCGGTATCAAAAACGACAATCCCCCAAATATATATATATATATATATATATATATATATATGTGTGTGTGTGTGTGTGTGTGTGTGTGTGTGTGTGTGTGTGTGTGTGTGTGTGTGTGTGTGTGTGTGTGTGTGTGTGTGTGCGCGCGCGCGCGCATGTAAGTGCCAAAAATTTTACTTTACCCCCAGAAAAAAATAATTACCCCAAAATTTACTTATCGAGATTCATTTCGAGTAAGGAACGCACGCGTGATTCCGTAAGATATATTTTTATTTCCATGTTGAAGTCTCTGTGCCATTCTGTAATGTCGCTACCGTGAGGATTAACTAAAACATTATTACAACAAACAAAATAAAACACTACGCGATTCCTTTTTTGCAGGCGGAGCTGATATTTGTGAACTACGGGACATACGAAGACTTTGACAAGCTCGAAAAAGAGGGCGTCAGCGTCGCTGGGTACATCTGCCTTGCGAGATACGGCAAGGGAACCCGAGGAGATAAAGTAAGGAAGGCTTTGTCGTCTTTCCTTTTAGGCAGTCAACTTAGAAACAAAACTGTTTTAAAGAGGTGAATGAAATTAAGCTTCTGATTTCTACCGGTTCGCTTTGCATGATTCAGAGGCCTCCTCTCTGCTGTTTCTCCCTCTGCCCTCTCCCCTGCCCCCCCCCCTCAAAAAAGAAGTAAAGCAAGGAACTTAGCCAGGCCATTTAGCCATATCTTATTGTGGTATCAAGTAATAAGTTTTCTTTTTTTTAAGTTATCATCAGAAAATCTATAAAAGAGTTGCCATTTCCAAATTACTTTTAATCTCATAGGCGTAGAATTTTAGTCGACAACGAATGATCGTATATCCCAGAGTTGCTGAAAGAGTTTTGTGATCGGAGACTGGTTTCATGTAAAAAAAGAAAAAGAAATCGGACCAATTAAGCCCAATAAGTAGAGCATCAGTATAGGGACTGGAACGCGTACCCGACTGTTGTGTTTTTCGTGTCCAAAAAAAAGTGGTCCTTCGATTTCCGCCTGATGAAGTCACAAAAGTGTCATGCTATCGCCGGTCGCGATCCTGGCGGCGTCCCAACAGCGGTAGTGGACGCGGCAGACGCCTGTTCGGCTGCAGGTCGTTCTCCACCTTTGCAGACCACGGAAGCTTCGGCAGTCGGGAGTTGGGACACTGCGACGACAGTGACAGTAGAGTTCCCTCGGTTCTATTTTATTTGTATCTTTTTTTTTTGTCTAAACCTTGTACGCCTAACCGCCAGAATCGCGACACCCAACAGGATGACACTAAGGTTTTTGTGACGTCATTTGTGGCCACTTAAGGACCACTTTCAATCCATGGGCGAAATGGGACGCCGAACACACCAGTCGGAGACGCGTTACAGTCACCGTAGATACCACTGTCGAACACTGATCTCCACTCATAGAGTTATTATAATGTACGCTAGAGGCTCAACTGGCGCTAGTGTGCTGCGGTAAATTGAAGCTGACAACAACCAATCGGAAATTGACTTGAGGTAATGCATATCTATGGGAAAAAGCGAGTGCATTTTCTCCCTGTGCTTGATTATTATAACAAATATCACGAATCATTCGTGCGTACTATGTATATTGGAAAATTTCTCAGTCACGCAGACAAGAGAATCGTTCAGTTACGGCTTTTTTTATTTGATATTCGTGGTATGAAAAACGGTGCTAAAACCGCTTCGTAAATTTTTTGTGTGTGCAATGTTGGACACTATTAGCGCGAACACGGAGGAGACTCTTTCCTGCATAAGGAATACGCGTGCCACGAAGAAGAAAAGAAGTACGAGTCAAAAACCAAGAGAGACGGAAGAACTGCGGAGTAACATTGAATAAGTAACTCCTTGTGCGTGCAGACTATCAAAATTAATTGAAAGCTACGTATGGGGTCTAATTGGCAATGTATTGCTTTATTCTTTCTGCTCATGAATGTCTGCCAAGATACTTGTTCGGCGTTCAAAACATCGCCCACACGCTCGATAGCTTTGAATATAGGGAGCAGTCAGAAAGCAGGTTCCCTATAAAAGCTGCCCGACATAGGAAATAATAAAAGACACGCCTTTCAAAGCCCACGAACTTTATTCTTTACATTTCGAAAGTTTTTTTAACCGCTTGTGAAGATGCGCGACGGAGTCATTTTCACATCGTGACAGGACGTGCGTATTAACAATATATAAGAATCACCAGAATGCTGGAGAACGTTGAACACACTCTACATTCCTTCAGATTGTTATTTTCCTTAGAATCGTCGCTCATTTTTACATACCTTCCATGAAACAATGGTTTGGGCGTGAAATATTGCGAAGTTTAACATCGTTCAGTGGTAAAGAAAAACTTGTAACTAAAGCAAATACACATTCACAATGTTAGTAGAGGTGCATACTATTCGGTACAACCCAAATAACAAAGGTTCTCTATACGTTATTTTCCGTCGAAGAGAGAAAATCCACGTGCGTTTTCCTATAGGAAAGCACAGGAGCACCGCAAAAGTAGACTGGTTGCTGTCAGCTTCAATTTGCCTCCGGAATGTCCCATAAACACTAGCACCAGTTGAACCCCTAGCGTACATTATAATAACTCTATGCATCCACTACGGGGGGCCGGATGACGCATTGAGGAAACAGGTATGAAACTTCTGCAAGTAAGCGCGCACTAAAAAAAGCCCGCGCGTCTGCTTTCCCGCACAACACTCGGAGAGCCAATCACTCCAACTTACGGAGGCAGCTCAGCGAATGACAATGCCGAAACATATGTTTAGACCAAAAAACGCAGTCTGAGTTGTGACATTAAGCTAAGGTACTTTGCGCAAAAACAATAAACATGACGACTTCAGGTTTCGCATAGTCCCTGTGCACATCGCATTTTTTATTTAATTGTATTCTGAGCCTTATGATTCGCTCGATCCTTCTCGTGATTGGCTGCCTCCCAGTTGTGGAAGAAATGTGAACTCACAGACGCTGTGCAATGTGTGAAAATACCAAATGCAGACGAAAACGGACGTAGCGTCAATCTCGAAATAGAAAGTCCCCGCCATAAAATAGCTCGGGCGCAATCCTGCATAATCCATCGGCTCGAGCCTGAAAGCTTTGAGAATTGCTTTAGCCGTACGGCGATTTTCATCACGTGCTTTCGAAACTAATTTCAGGGCTTCGTGCAGAGACCGCCAGGCGCAGTGAATATATGAATCGCTCGACAAAGCTTGCGAGAGAACTTGCCGCGACAGATGGCTGTTCTAGGCGCTAGGCGCCGTTTAGTATATTCCGCAGCAATCGCTTATGGTAAAGAAAGAAGCACAGGGTTTAAAAATCATAAACGTTCTGAAAACAATAAACCCAAGGCGAAGGAAGACAGCGCTTCAAACTATGCACCCAAACGCCGAATTGAAAATTTTGATGAATCAGAGAGTTGCTCGTACTCTCAGCCGTCGGGTCACTCAGCGGTCTCAACACCTAGTGATCGTTGGAAAACTAGCAGATTGCGCAGTTGCCTTAATCTATCCGTCTTTAAAACCCTAATTTCTTCGTAAAAAGCGCTTCCTTAGATAATAGTTAAGCTTTCAAATGTTTAGAATTTTTCAAATACACTTTAATACAAAAGCATAATTGACTGCAGTGCCTCTTACAAATCGTCTCATGACCGTTCAGACATACCAGTGAAATTTTATACGGTACTAAACGATAAGAAGATGCGTAGGAATTTCATAGGTGTGAAAATGATTGGAACACAAAGAAGCCAGTTATTGTGTATTAGTGATTACCTGTAGGGAAAGATAAGTATTAAATTACGACAAGGCAGTAGGCAATAGTCAGGTCAGAATAGTGAAACTGGGTATACCCAAAATGTGTACATTGACCCTCACTACTTTTTCCATACTTTCATCAATAATCTAGTATTTCTCCCGCCTCCAACTTCTCTAATTGATTCCTTTTCCACACCTACAATTTTAGGTCCGCATTTGCAAAGAGCGTGGCGGCATCGGAGCCATACTCTTCGGTGATCCGATGGACCTCGCTCCGAAAGGAGACGATTTGGTTTACCCGAAGAGCCAGTTCGTCGGCGGTTCTGCCATGCAGCGGGGAACTCTGGATTTTACGCAGGACGCCGAGACCCCCGGGTACCCCTCAATACGTGAGTGCAGCTCGCCTATTTATCAGCCACAAATATCGAAGAGGGAATCTGCTTACAACGGTTTTCCGAAAAAGCTCAAAATATAAGGTGAGCTCGAGTAAAGAACAGCAACAGCATTTAATTTCATATTATTCATTTATTCTCAGGGTAAGGGAAAAACAATGGGTTGCTATTGAAATGAGATGGGGGAAAAACAATAACCAGCGAAATCAACAAAATCGGGTAAAAATACGAATTGACGCCTTCTTAAAAAGAACACTCTCCGTAATTGAGACGATGGAGGCCGGAAGGTGTTTCCATTCAAGGGACCTGCATTGTTATAAAAGAATAGTAAAAGAAAACATTGCTGTGCAGAGAGCAAGTCCACGATAAGGAAAGAGGGACATTTAAGACAAACAGACAAGACAGGCTTTCGACTTTCAACAAAACGTTTACTGGCTCGACTTCGCCTCCTGAAGCTCGACGAGGGCTGTCGGGGAGGTAGAGAGGGAGGATGGTGGGTGAGAGAAGCGCGAGCCCGCTCGCAGCTGAGCGTGCATAGCAGAAGGGGGGGTCTGCTGAGTGTCAATCGACACGTCGCCGTTACACGCAGCCCCGAGTGCGGGCGGAGCCCTCTTGGGGAAAGAAGGGAGGAGGGGGGGGGGAAGGGCGACGGAGAAGAGAAGGAGAAGAAGATGTGCCGGCGGTGCTCTCTTGGGGAAGGAAGGGAAAGGGGGGGGGGGGGGGGGGGGGAGGCGCTGAGAAGAAAAGAGAAGAAGATACGCGAATTTAGACTTTTTATGTCTTTGGAGGAGCCCTCTCGCCCCGCAGGAAGCGAATCTCTCGATCAGAAAGAGAAAGGGATGGGCTGGACAGGTTTGAGACTGAAGATTTGATGTGTAGGGACTCAAGGATTTCCCTGCCGAATCGAGATTTGTGCCCGCCGCGAATCTTGGTTTTCGAGAACTCGGGGGTGCACGAGGGGCAGTCTTTTTTGGCGTGAACCACAACTGGATGGAAGGAGTCCCGAGAAGGAGACAAGATCTCCTTGGCGTGCTCCCGGAGACGGTCATTCACGCACCGCCCCGTCTGGCCGATGTACTCGGCCCCGCACACAAGTGGAATACTATACACCTTTTCCCTTGTGCAGGGCCGGAAGCACTGCGCGTGTTTTTTTGTGCATGTGGGTGGGGGCTCTGGGTTGGTTACTCGCCTGCACAAGCCTCCCAATTTAAATTTACATGTGAAAAGAACTCTGGTGCCGAATCGACGTGCAAGCGCGCGGAGTCGGTGTGCCGTGTTGTGGGAGTACGGGATGCACGCAGGGCGGGCAGACCGGGTCCCGGAGGGAGCCTCCTTTGGGCGGCTCCTCGACTGCAGGATGAGTTTCTTGCTGATGTTATCTAAAAGGTCCACCGGGTAACCCGCCCTCCTGAGCCTGGTGGCCTGCAACGACAGGCTCCCTCTGATCTTATGATCGCAGGACTTTTTGCACGAGGAGGAAAGGAGAGACTGGACAATTCCGGACTTAACGGTTTTTGAATGATGGCTAGAGAAGGGAAGGACAGGTTTCTGGGAACGCTGTTGAAAAGACCAGCAAAGACCGTGAGACGAGTGGGTCAGTCGAAGATCGAGAAATTGAAGACCCTCCTGAGTAGGGTCCTCCCTTTTGAAGGTGAGGCCACTGGCGTGAGTTTTGAATGCCTGAAGAATGGGAACATCTGAGTTGGAGACAGGATGAAGAACCAGATAGTCGTCAACGTACCGAAAGATTCTACATTCATTACCCGAGCGAGCAAGATGCTCCTGCACCGCGCGATCCACAAAAAAGAGATAAATCTCGCTGAGGATCGGCGCGAGGCAGGAACCGATACACACACCCGATTTCTGAATGAAAACCCTTCCCTCGTGCTCAACCAGAGTGGATTCCAGGTAGAGCCGGAGGAGATCGAGGAAGCCTCCGACCGGGATTCCTGACGCGTTTTGAAACGTCGTGAGTCCATGTAGGTCAATTGCCTCAGAAACAGAGCTTAGAAGGATTTTGAGGTCGAGATTATAATACATGTCCTCGACATCCAGCGAGAACATGTACTGGTCCTGATTTGAATGCAAGGGTCGAATGAAATCAGTCACCTCAAGAGAGCCCTTAACGCGGAAGGGGTGGGGAAGATCGATAGAGGAAAGGTGCTTTTGTAGGAAGAGGGCGAGAGGTTTCTGCCAGCATCCCCCCTCAGAGATTATGCTTCGAAGGGGAATGTCTGGCTTGTGTGTTTTTGCCGTGAAGAAGATGGAAAGGTACTGTTTTGACGGGGCAGAAACTAGCGTTTTTAAGAAAGGGAGGCTGAGAGATTCACAAACAGATTTGACTTCGGACCGGAGTGCTCCCGATGGGCGTTTCTTTAGGGGAACAAAGTTCTTTTTTAGTGCCTCATCCACTTTCTCTCCGAATTTTTCTCTGCTCATTATGACGAATCGGCCCACCTTGTCCGCCTCCAAGAGCACCAGATCCGATCGGCGAAGTTCCTCCACGACGCAATTCACCTCCGAGCGCACAGGTGCACTCCCGGCACCGTGATGGCAAACCACACCAGCCGCCGCCCCGACAAAGTCCTGTCGATCACTCTCCGGGACTCTCGCCGCAATCTCGTAGACAGAAGCCAGCTGGTCCACTCTTGATGATGGCGCAGGCGGCGCGAACTTGGGGCCTTTAGACAGGAGGGCAGTCGCCTCCGCCGACAGCTTGGTGTCGGACAGGTTGATGGGGGGATCCAGGCCTGCCTTGCGGCGGGAGGCAGAACCCGCGAGGATGCCCTGGAGCACGCGTCTCCACGATGTCTCAAGGAGGTTGTCCGAAGATTCCCGTAGAAAAACAAAGGCGGGGTGCGTGTTGAAGCAAATGCCAAAGCATTCAGTCATCAAAGGGCGCAGCCCAGTCCTCATCACGAGGATCTCCCGTGAAACCTCCTTCCTTGTTATCTGCATTATCCTGTAAGAGGAAGGCCAACTTGAAGGTTCAAAGCCTAGGAGACGGTGCACTGAGGAATGGGCCACGTTCTCCCGAAGGCTGACTCCCAAGGCTCGCAGTTGCAGGCGAAGAAGATTCATCCTTGACACGAAGATGGCGGCCCGGAAGAAGGAGGATGGGTCAAACTCCAGGTGGTTCGGTTGTTTGCCAGGAGGACAGCACATAACATGAAGCTCGCGGAAGTATAATGTAGGTGGTTGAGCGTGTTGGTTATTAATTCATGATAAGGAAAGAGGGACATTTAAGACAAACAGACAAGACAGGCTTTCGACTTTCAACAAAACGTTTACTGGCTCGACTTCGCCTCCTGAAGCTCGACGAGGGCTGTCGGGGAGGTAGAGAGGGAGGATGGTGGGTGAGAGAAGCGCGAGCCCGCTCGCAGCTGAGCGTGCATAGTTAATAACCAACACGCTCAACCACCTACATTATACTTCCGCGAGCTTCATGTTATGTGCTGTCCTCCTGGCAAACAACCGAACCACCTGGAGTTTGACCCATCCTCCTTCTTCCGGGCCGCCATCTTCGTGTCAAGGATGAATCTTCTTCGCCTGCAACTGCGAGCCTTGGGAGTCAGCCTTCGGGAGAACGTGGCCCATTCCTCAGTGCACCGTCTCCTAGGCTTTGAACCTTCAAGTTGGCCTTCCTCTTACAGGATAATGCAGATAACAAGGAAGGAGGTTTCACGAAAGATCCTCGTGATGAGGACTGGGCTGCGCCCTTTGATGACTGAATGCTTTGGCATTTGCTTCAACACGCACCCCGCCTTTGTTTTTCTACGGGAATCTTCGGACAACCTCCTTGAGACATCGTGGAGACGCGTGCTCCAGGGCATCCTCGCGGGTTCTGCCTCCCGCCGCAAGGCAGGCCTGGATCCCCCCATCAACCTGTCCGACACCAAGCTGTCGGCGGAGGCGACTGCCCTCCTGTCTAAAGGCCCCAAGTTCGCGCCGCCTGCGCCATCATCAAGAGTGGACCAGCTGGCTTCCGTCTACGAGATTGCGGTGAGAGTCCCGGAGAGTGATCGACAGGACTTTGTCGGGGCGGCGGCTGGTGTGGTTTGCCATCACGGTGCCGGGAGTGCACCTGTGCGCTCGGAGGTGAATTGCGTCGTGGAGGAACTTCGCCGATCGGATCTGGTGCTCTTGGAGTCGGACAAGGTGGGCCGATTCGTCATAATGAGCAGAGAAAAATTCGGAGAGAAAGTGGATGAGGCACTAAAAAAGAACTTTGTTCCCCTAAAGAAACGCCCATCGGGAGCACTCCGGTCCGAAGTCAAATCTGTTTGTGAATCTCTCAGCCTCCCTTCCTTAAAAACGCTAGTTTCTGCCCCGTCAAAACAGTACCTTTCCATCTTCTTCACGGCAAAAACACACAAGCCAGACATTCCCCTTCGAAGCATAATCTCTGAGGGGGGATGCTGGCAGAAACCTCTCGCCCTCTTCCTACAAAAGCACCTTTCCTCTATCGATCTTCCCCACCCCTTCCGCGTTAAGGGCTCTCTTGAGGTGATTGATTTCATTCGACCCTTGCATTCAAATCAGGACCAGTACATGTTCTCGCTGGATGTCGAGGACATGTATTATAATCTCGACCTCAAAATCCTTCTAAGCTCTGTTTCTGAGGCAATTGACCTACATGGACTCACGACGTTTCAAAACGCGTCAGGAATCCCGGTCGGAGGCTTCCTCGATCTCCTCCGGCTCTACCTGGAATCCACTCTGGTTGAGCACGAGGGAAGGGTTTTCATTCAGAAATCGGGTGTGTGTATCGGTTCCTGCCTCGCGCCGATCCTCAGGAAGATTTATCTCTTTTTTGTGGATCGCGCGGTGCAGGAGCATCTTGCTCGCTCGGGTAATGAATGTAGAATCTTTCGGTACGTTGACGACTATCTGGTTCTTCATCCTGTCTCCAACTCAGATGTTCCCATTCTTCAGGCATTCAAAACTCACGCCAGTGGCCTCACCTTCAAAAGGGAGGACCCTACTCAGGAGGGTCTTCAATTTCTCGATCTTCGACTGACCCACTCGTCTCACGGTCTTTGCTGGTCTTTTCAACAGCGTTCCCAGAAACCTGTCCTTCCCTTCTCTAGCCATCATTCAAAAACCGTTAAGTCCGGAATTGTCCAGTCTCTCCTTTCCTCCTCGTGCAAAAAGTCCTGCGATCATAAGATCAGAGGGAGCCTGTCGTTGCAGGCCACCAGGCTCAGGAGGGCGGGTTACCCGGTGGACCTTTTAGATAACATCAGCAAGAAACTCATCCTGCAGTCGAGGAGCCGCCCAAAGGAGGCTCCCTCCGGGACCCGGTCTGCCCGCCCTGCGTGCATCCCGTACTCCCACAACACGGCACACCGACTCCGCGCGCTTGCACGTCGATTCGGCACCAGAGTTCTTTTCACATGTAAATTTAAATTGGGAGGCTTGTGCAGGCGAGTAACCAACCCAGAGCCCCCACCCACATGCACAAAAAAACACGCGCAGTGCTTCCGGCCCTGCACAAGGGAAAAGGTGTATAGTATTCCACTTGTGTGCGGGGCCGAGTACATCGGCCAGACGGGGCGGTGCGTGAATGACCGTCTCCGGGAGCACGCCAAGGAGATCTTGTCTCCTTCTCGGGACTCCTTCCATCCAGTTGTGGTTCACGCCAAAAAAGACTGCCCCTCGTGCACCCCCGAGTTCTCGAAAACCAAGATTCGCGGCGGGCACAAATCTCGATTCGGCAGGGAAATCCTTGAGTCCCTACACATCAAATCTTCAGTCTCAAACCTGTCCAGCCCATCCCTTTCTCTTTCTGATCGAGAGATTCGCTTCCTGCGGGGCGAGAGGGCTCCTCCAAAGACATAAAAAGTCTAAATTCGCGTATCTTCTTCTCTTTTCTTCTCAGCGCCTCCCCCCCCCCCCCCCTTTCCCTTCCTTCCCCAAGAGAGCACCGCCGGCACCGCCGGCACATCTTCTTCTCCTTCTCTTCTCCGTCGCCCTTCCCCCCCCCCCTCCTCCCTTCTTTCCCCAAGAGGGCTCCGCCCGCACTCGGGGCTGCGTGTAACGGCGACGTGTCGATTGACACTCAGCAGACCCCCCCTTCTGCTATGCACGCTCAGCTGCGAGCGGGCTCGCGCTTCTCTCACCCACCATCCTCCCTCTCTACCTCCCCGACAGCCCTCGTCGAGCTTCAGGAGGCGAAGTCGAGCCAGTAAACGTTTTGTTGAAAGTCGAAAGCCTGTCTTGTCTGTTTGTCTTAAATGTCCCTCTTTCCTTATCGTGAATTAATAACCAACACGCTCAACCACCTACATTAGAGAGCAAGTCGTCTGCTTTTTGCGCAGGTATTACGGTGACGTCAGAACGACGCCGAGCTCTGATTGGTTCTGATTAAAAGAATAGTGGGCGGACCTCAACGCTAAATGCTTCGAGATCTACCCACTATTTGTTTCAGTAATCCAATAAGAGCTCGGCGTCCTGACGTCATCGCCACCCCTGTGCAGGAGGCAGACGGATTTGATGCTGATCATTGACTCGTGACAAAACATAGCAAAGAAGTTCGAAGGACCTATCTGACAGAGTAAGGTTAGCGGTGTAAGCTCTGTCAAATAACCTTAACGGAGATGCTTTTTTGCAGACCGTGAGGTGTGGGATCATAATCGGTGCAGCTCTTTTTCCTTTTTATTTCTTATTTTTTTAACTCGAAACTTTGTGTGTTTAAAAACTCGGAGAACACACATGAACAAATAGACACCCGAGTAAAAGCCACCCGACTCGGACAAAAAAATATATATATAGCTTCTGGCATTTTAGATAACACAGGCCGTTGGCGAGCACCCATAGCTCCAGAGTCAACGATATTTGAGCATAATGCAAAAAAAAAAAAAACACCGTGACGAACAAATCACGAAGGAAGAAGCTTGTAAATATTAAACCACACCCAGGATTCCTGCAGATGTCGGCCGCCACAATAAACGGCAGGCTTACAAAAATCAAAAAAAAAAATTTAAGTAATATGTTTAGCTGGTTCAGAGACAGAGTCGCTTCTATGAAGACGCGTTAATGACAACTACATACTCACTGATAACTTAAAAAGTGCCGAGACTGGGGAGTCACGAGCATCGCATTACCAGTCCTCAGCCAATCAGAGTGCGGAAATTGCCGATAACATTGCCGAATAACCAATCACGACGCAAGAAGCGTGGGCCTATAATGAGCCACGCACTGCGTGTTTTTAATCTCTCAGTATCTATGCGGGGTGCAAGGTCGTCTGCTTTCTGCGCAAAAGTGGCGATGACGTCACGACGTCGAGCTCTGATGGGCTCTGATTGGAAGGATAGTGGGTAGACCTCAAAGCAGCTGGCACTGAGATCTACCCACTATCCTTCAATCAGAGCCAGTCAGAGCTCAGCATTCACTCTCAGAAAAAGAGGCTGTATTCTTACGCCCCCTGTCCCACATAAGACACTCCCAAATTTCAGTTCGACGTACAGCGCGCTGACGTCGAACTGACGGTGCCAACTTTCACGAAAGGCTCGGTAGCCAGTGGTACAACTTATCACAATAGCTGATATGCGTGTAACTGGCTACAAAAAAAAAAAATAATCGAGATTTTCTTGGTCAACTGCGAAACCTCAGTGTTTTCTTTTTCCTGTAGTCTTTCATATGTACTTTAGCTGTTTAATAAGGTATATTGCACTGTTATCAAGCCCCTCGTAAAAATTGGGGCCGTCTGTTCCACGTCAGTGAGCTGTACGTCGAATTGAAGTTTTGGGATGCAGTATATGAGACAAAAGTGTGGAAGACGACACCCTTTTTGTTAGAGTGTTCTGACGTTACTGCAACCCGTGCGCCAAAAGCAGACGAACTTGCGCCCCACATAAATGATGCGCGAACGCTCATCACAAACACGGAATTGCTTTCTTCGCCATAAAGCAAAGCGGCATAACCTAGAAGCAAGAACCTGCCAGTTTCTAATTTCATGCCCTTTTTGTGCTCGGAGCAGTTGGCGTCAAAAATACTCCAGACAAAAAACCTTGACAAATGCAAGGTTGATGTTCTTAGGAGGGTTTTGTTTTGTTCTTTGTTTTTAGTTCAAATACTAGACGCAATGAGTTTATTTAGAGCATGACTTGGTGGTCCTGAAAAGAGGGCATCGGAGTACTGTATTCATTCGAGCAATAGACGCATGATTAATATACCAAACTTGCGCGTTCACTTTCACGCGGGGCACGTGCGGAGAGTTTATCATCGTGATTGACAAAATAAGCTCATCGAACTATGAGATAGAGATGTCGATTTCGCGGGAAAAATATCCATCTACGCAGACCACATGTTTGCGAAAAGTCGTTTGCCAGATCTTGTTATTTGCTACGTTTCTCAAGTAGAACAAGGTGATTACCTGCATCTGCGCTCTGTGGAAATGAAGTCGTTTGTTTCTGGTTCATGACCAGCTTGTCCTCTATTCGAGCGAAAAATACATACTACGTTGCTTTTCAAACAGGGCACTGGATGTTTGGTGTTTTGTCCCTTGAATTTATGTTATATAATCATTTATTCTTCTTAGCGGAAGCTATGAGGATCATGAATCCGCCCGGTTTGCCCAAAATACCAGCGCAGGTCATTGGATACAACGACGCTCGAGTTTTGCTCAAGTAAGTAACATATGATGGTCATTTTGCAATCAAAGATAACACTAATATTTAAACGCTGTGCTCACGCCTCAGGTATTTAAAAGCGATATGCGACACCAGCTGTGTTTGATCGTGCTGATGGTTTTCGAATTTGAACTTGAAAGTTCTTCACTTCACCTTCATTTATTTTATTCTTTTAACCGCCTTAAAGAAAAAAAAACGCGAATAATCACAGGCGTCTGCACTATATGCGCAGTCTGCTGGCAGTTTTTGTAGTTCTTCGGTATTTTCTCTCAATCTCAAAATAGTATCTCAGTCTCACCCATCACGCACATCCAAGGAGCTGTGCTTTCTCGTGCACAAATCGATTAATTTTATTATGTTCATGTAGGCAAGCGGATATCTTCAAATCATCCAAGGAATCTGCTCGCTGCTGTTCTTGTGCACGAAAGACGCAAAATAATTATCTTTCCTGTTGTTTTTTTTCCTTGTTTTTTTCTTTGAGATATTCTAGTTGTCGGCCGCATACTATTGCATCTAGATGACGAAAACCTCACTGCAATTTGGAGAAGTGGAGCGCTTGTTGACACTTTGAAATTTCGGACATGTTTCACGTCGGAGGAGACAAGGAGTTGATCTCTTCGTACAATCTGCCGAACCACAACCGGTTCTTCTGCGATGATGCCCTCTTGCAGACTACTAGGAGGGCAGGAGTGGGCCGTGGAGGGAGGCTTCAATTTCACATACAAAACAGGACCCTTCTCACCCAACCAAACGGGAATGTGAGTAAATAACAATCAAGTTTATTCGTCTACTCGTCTGCAACTGTTTCTAGAATAAGGGGCTCCGATGGCTTTGGATCACCCCAAGCAGACTGGCGCGTCGCAAAATGGGTGCGCAGAACTTCTCCGCAAGCGCAGCATGTCACCCAAAGATTCTCGGGGCGCCCAAGGTGTTGGAGGATAGTGGGTAGACCTCAAGGCAGCTTGCTTTGAGGTCCACCCACTGTCCTTCTAATGAGAGCAAACCAGAGCTCGGCGTTCTGACGTCACCACAACCCCTGCAAAAGAAGCAGACGAACTTGCGCTCCCATATGTTCGCAATTTCGTGGATTTGAAAATAGGGCATATATATATATATATATATACAACCACGAAGGGTATTTTTTTATACTCTTTTACCCGCTGTCAGGAATTAGGCGCGCTGCGCGACAAAGCTAGTGCTATTAGTACCTTGAATATGAACACTACGTGAAACTGTAACCAGAGCGTGTTAAAATCGCACTTTTTTCTTCATCTCTGCGAGCAAATAACGTGCCATGCAGCAAGCAAACGTTTAAATACGCAAAATGTATGCAAAACCATAACCACATATACACATGTTGAGACGTTTTGTGTGTTGTCCCCTTCTTCGTCCGTCGTCTCCGGTTTTCAAAAATGTCTAACATCAACCAGCTCGCCTCCCTACTTACTTTATCTTCACAAGATGTGGATCAGAGTCTGTTGACTTTGCTAAGCCGGATGCGAAGTCTAACTCATTCAAAGTGGACAGTTGGACCAGTTGGTTCATAGCTTTGAAATGCAGAATCGCCGAAAAAAGGCAAGGACTAAGACGAAGAAATACAACACAAGGCGGCTTGTGTTGTATTCCTTTTTCTTAGTCCTTGTCTCTTTTCGGCGCTTTTACATTTCAAAACTAACTGGTTGTGATGCCGCGTGTCGTTGTCCCAGCGGCATCAGGCACAGGAAAATTATTACTAAAGGCTTTCCAGCTTTTAGACGTATATTCGCGACGTAATTCGTTTTAAATAGTTGGCGTCTATATTTCTCACTTGAATTCAACATTTATTTTGCACGCTTGAGAAGTAAACGTAAACCGGATTTATTTCGAAAAAATACGTACACCGATGGCCGCCGGGCATGCAGCGGTCCTCTCGACCGTTTATTATCTCTCCAGAGTGTAGTGACGTCATTCACGGCTTCCCCGAGCCAGCTTAACGGCAAGCAAGGGTCACCTGACCCTAGTAATGACGTTACTTTTGCTAGTTCTTCTCTCCACTCTGGCGCTTTCATACCCTCGGCGCGCCTCAACGGGTGGGTCTACGCCGAAATTTTTATTTGCTATTACAACGATCCCACTAATACGATCAAAAGGAAGCGTAAGACACGTAATTGTTAAGATGTCTAAATTACAACTTTCACTGATTGTTCAAATTGAAGGATTTATTCAGCTTCCCTTTAAACAATTGCAGTTAGCGCATTGTGTTCTTTTGTTCGCCCCTCTTACCCGTGTCTATAAGCGCGACCGTGCTTTCAAAGATTCGGCATCGACTCGCCCGGAAGTCAGCATTGAGCGTACAGGCTACGTTTGCAAAGCAGAATCAGTGAATATTTTTTTCGTGTCGTGAATTAATTGTTCATGCTTGCCTCCGACAGGAAAGTGCGCTTGAGTGTGAACAACATTATCAAGCGGTTGGTGGTTCATGACGTCATCGGGGTGATCCGAGGAAGCGTTGAACCAGGTAAGATTCTGGTCAGGACTGATGAAGGCGGCGTGCGTCAGTGCTGCACCGGACCCTGCAATAGATTGCTTGCGGCTCTAGTGCCTGAAGCGCGTGTGTTTGCCACGACTTTTGATTCATATTTTTTTTCGCCAGGTAAAGTCACTACTATATAGTTACTGTCAGAGTGAAAACGACAGCACGTGCTCAGTTCCTTTTGCCGTGTCATAGCCTCCTATAATACCGACAAAGCCTGGAAGATTCCCACGAGAAGCGGCCGCCGAAATGGAAAAGGTGGAGGGGCAGACAACGGATGAGAGAAGAGCCACGTGTCTGGCGCCCCGCTGCGGCGAGCCGTCGAAACACACTTCTCCCGAGCGAACAAGTGTGTTTCGGGTCCTTGCCGCTGCAAAAGCTGTGCGCTGACGTCCAGGTTCCCCGAGAAATGGCTCTTTGATGCTCTGTGCTACCAGATCCTCACGCTCCAAATCTGCGACCGCTATGGCTCCGTCGTCGAACAGCCAGGCTTTGTGAGTATAGAGGAGGCTTTGGCCTTGCCTTGGCTGCGCGCGCGCGCGCGCTACGACACAATGAAGAGTTGCAGATTTAGGAAGCCCTCGCTGGAGACGGGACAACTGAAGCTCCTTTCCTGCTGTTCTTACCTTGTGTGTGGCTGTAGGAAACGATGCGTTTTGGCCAGATCCTGGCGAAGCAACCGCGCCACAGGTAAATGAAGCCGCGGTCAGGCATTAAAACATCATGTCTAAGCCCTTCTACCCTGTTAGTTGTAGCGCTGTGTTAAAGAATCCCCTTAGTGTAATCGTCGCGCTTTTTTTGTTTATTACTACGCTGTTTTAGTTAAAAACAATTTATATTATTGTGGGATTTTTAATATCTAACTAGTTTAACATAGCTTTTAAACGAGCCAACCAAATTCCCACTGACCGATGTCAGCTACCATAGTAGCAGTAGCTTGTTTTAGGGAACTGTCTTTGCACACCGGATACGGTACGATGGGCAATCCGGTACGAACTGCGCACGCGCTACCGCCACCGCAGAAGACTCGGACATGTGCTGCTCGTATACCGGAAAGGGTGGAAGGGGGAGGGGGGGGGGGGGGGGGGGGGGGGGCACCGTCCTGTGTCGGATGTGCAAAAACGATCCTCTAATACTCTCTGCTCTATTTGGCGTGTTCCTTGTATGACGGTCCAGTCACATCGTTCGTACCAAAAACTGTTTGCAGGCAAGTTCTAGGGGCACATATGTTCGAAGCAAACATGCCGTCCAACTTATTTGGGTCGGGTCCACCAATGATTCTCTCGTTATGGCTGCAGCGAGTAACGCGTCTTGTATACGATGTAGCAGCGGGACTGCCCATTGTGGCAGACGCCTGTTCCGCTGCAGGTAGTCTGCTTTGCAGGCAGCCGATCGACGGAAACTTCATCCGTCGACAGCAAGTCGAAAGTTATTTTGTTTACCATTCAGTTGAGTTCCCATAGCCAGTGCTGCGCAAATGTGTGCAAACATATTTTTTTTTTTATTGTCAGGACGCCGTTTTGAAGAATATCAGTTAACCTTTTTGCATCTTGGGACAATTTAAAATCGGCAGAAAGTTTCTTGACTTCGTGGTTCTAAACCACGAAGTCAAGAAACTTTCGTGGTTCGTGGTTCGTGGTCTTTCTGCTGCTGTGGTAGCTGACGTCGGTCAGTGGGAATTCGGCTGACTGGCTTAAAATCTATGTTAAACGAGTTAGATATTAAACATCCTACAAAAATGTAAATTGTTTTTAACCAAAACAGCGTAATGATAAAAAAATTTCGCGACGATTACACTAACGGGATTCGTTTAGACAGCGCAACAAGTTACAGGGTAGAGGGGCTTAGAGCGATAAACGGGTATCCTGTTCACCAGGCAAATGTGACCCCCAATTAGCCGTCGCCATGTTGCACATTTTTGACCACTAGAAACGTAACCTTATAGTTTTAAGTCTAGATTTTAACGAAGTACCGCGCACAAATAATTGCTTATCGATATTTAATAACAGTAATGACGAGATAAGTCAGGTTTCGTTTTGTTTAAGTCCCTATTGTGCTTTTACGACAAAAAATTCAAGCAGCTTCGCCATGCCTCTGCTAGATGCCGTAGGTCGCGGCTCTCTATTTTGGGTTTTATCTGGGACTAATAGTATTGAAAAAATAGTTTATTACGTTTTAATAGCGATAGCACTACAAATATTGGCTCAGTTTTTCGTAAAAACCTCAGGATGTGGTATAGTAACGTGTCTAGTGGTTAAAAATGTGCAACATGGCGGCGGCCAATTGGGGGTCACTTACAGCTGCTAGTCTATTGCACTAAGGCCCTCTACCTCGTTAAGACAGCGACAGCAAGGTCGTGATGTGTATTATCGCCAAATTTAGCTTGGAAACTGAATTGGTGCATAGGTCACGTGGCCTAAATGTTTCCGCTAAATTTAGGGGGACCTTATTTGTCTACAGGGCCCGTGACGTCATGTCCCGTGGCATAGATTTCCCCGCCAAATTTAGCGGGGAATTGAGTTGCTGCATAGGTCCCGTGACGTCAATTTTTCTGCCAAATTTACGAGGGAAACTGAATTGGTTTACACTCCTGCCTTCACGAAACCGGGGGGCGGGCCACTAACAGCTGTTGCTGTAAAACGGCTAGCATGGTCCGCCTTGTACTAATAAAATGAACTGTTGGGCTAGTTGATTAAACATTATGGACACAAACAGCGCTAACGACGAGGACTAGTAGAAAGAGTGCACAAGGTCTCCTCTTTCTTATTTTTGTGGATTCAAACGTCAGTTGCTTGTCAGAGTCCATCCTTTCCACTTCTACTAGTTCTCGTCCTTAGCGCTGTTTGTGTCCATAATTTAATCACATGTTAGAAATATTGTCAGCTCGCTTCTAAGAGTTTTTGGTGTTACACTCGCGTGTATTGAGTAATTTTAAAGATCCACTCTGTCTTCTTTAATGTGATTTCGCTGCATTGTGCAAAGCCGCCTCGTATTTTCCTCAACTGTATAGAACTGTATTGGAGAGTAACTCATCTAGTATTGAGAGAGAGTCCAAAGAAAATTTATACATGTGTTTTACGATTGCTACTTGCAATCCAAGGTGTTTTATGACTACCAGATAATATGTGGGTAGATTGGCTTACATTTTTTTGCATAATAGACGAATGATGCGTGATTTCATGTTCTTGCATATGGTTGTTAGCGGTGTAGTCCATTGCGCATCTTTACTAAACTGTTCATGTTTATGCGTTCCTCAAACGTCTAGTCCTGTACTCTCATCGTTTTATCCTTCCATTCTACACAAGACTGATTCCATTACCCGTGTGCAACTGGTTTTTAACAAATTGGATTCAAACTTGTTTACATTTGACATAGGCATTTTTGGATCCGAGCTAACATTTAGAAAGGTCATTGACATCTTCCTTTCAGTTTGATATGTCAACGTATGATCCTGATATGTGAACTCTGATTATTTCGACGTAGTGAACAACTAACAAGGCATTAAAGCATTGTTATCATTAATATTATAACGTCTTGTACTAAGTCGTGCACTGCGCCAAAGGGACAACGTGCGTGCCCGTCTGATGCCGCTTTAACAGATACACTTCATAAACGAAAAGGTATTATGTTTTATGTAAAATATTGGATGTTGCTCTCAATGGCGGAGCGCAAGTTCGTCTTTAAATCGTCTGCTCGAACTTGAATATGCGCTTTCGCCTTCCTGTTTCTTGCACGGTGACGACAGAACGCCAAGCTCTGATTGGCTCCGATTGAAAGAAAACGGTAGATCTCAATGTTATAGCTGCATGGCCAGCTGCCTTGAGATCCACCTACTGTCTTTTCAATCAGACTCAAGCAGATCTCGGCGTTCTGACGTCGCCACAACCCCAGCAAAAGACGCAGATGAACTTGCGCACTGCATATATAAAACATTCTGCCCGTAAACGCATTCAGCGCTATAACTAGATTCGGAAAAGAGTAGTTGAGTAGGGCGAAAGCGTCTTGGGGATGGTGCAGATCAGTTCAGCGTGACGGGCAACCACCACGACGCGTGGGGTTTCGGAGCCAGCGACCCGTCATCGGGAACCGCTGCACTCCTGGAGGCGAGTCGAACCCTGGGTGACATGGTGAGACGCGGATGGAGGCCCAGGCGTTCGATCGTCGTCGCTTTCTGGGCCCAGGAAGAATTCGGCATGGGCGGCTCCAGGGAATGGGTGGAGGTGAGTCACCAGCGCCAATAAGGCCCTGTGCTAACTGTTTTATATATATATATATATTTCAGCACTGGTATTTTCGCGAGTTCAAACACAAGTCTCGTCCACATTAAGGCCAGACGCAAATGATGCTAAGAGCTGATGAGACTAATCCTAAAGCGCCAAAAGCGCACCATTGCGGTATTCGTCATGTTCGTATACGTGTTTTATCATCGCTTAACCAATCATGTACAGAGAAGGCCCGGAGACTTGCGATTTTGTCGCTGTCTGATTGGTCCTATCAGCTCGTATAGCGCCAGCTGCGTCTGGACTTAAGGTAAAGCAAAGCAGAGGGGGTGTTGGTGCATACCATTGTCTCACATGTTGCGAGGACTATACTTGTTTATGATGCTTTTGCGCTCCAGCCAGGTTCTACCCTTACACGGACTCGTTTATTTATAGGGTGTCCCTTTCTCATATATCAAATCAAATATAAGAAAGATGCATCGAACATTTGATTGACTGCCGCACGGGCATTTCAAGTGCCAGTAAACCAATGCTGATACCGAATCGCCGAATGAGCACACACCGAGTATAACGCGCGGAGGCGAGATCGCGAGCTGGTTCTCCGATTGCTGAATTGGCATCGAGAGAAATATCATTTGAGATGCCAGTGTAACAGTGCTACGGGTTTTACTCTTGGTTGCGTAACCACGTAATAATTCGTATGATTAAACCCACCCGTCAGGGTAGTTGTCCAGAGCCACTATAGGTGAACAGAAAACAAACGTAACTTGAAAAAGTGCCAGATTCAACTCGCTAGCAATATGCCGCTTACGCTTGAGCCACATCTACTGAAGTTTTAATAACGTGTTTTTAAACAAGGGGCGTTAAGGTTAAGATTGCTCGAGTAAAAAAATCTGCTATTGCTTTTTAAGCAAGCAGTGTTTTTGTTCTTTATTTTTGTGGGGTGCTGCTAGGTCATAAGCCTGTTTTAGAAGAATGTGGAGCGACTGAGACCACCATATTGAAGACGTCACATTTAAATTGTTTTATGTTCGTATTCCCCTCAATCGCCGCAGTAAAAAAAGTCCGGCTCATAGCAGAACTTTAGTGGTTTCTCCCTTCAAGTGTTGAATTAAAATATATGTGGGTGAACCTGATATTAACTTTGTCATTTTGACAAGACCTACATGTTTGAAAGGCTACAATCATCGTTTCTTCCTTCATCAACCAAGTTTTGTACGAACTACATCGCACAGCGCGTGAATAATGCGCAACACGGCTTTTTTTTTCTCTTGATGGGAGAAGTATAGGCGGACCTCTGGTTTTATGCATACGGTTGTTTTTACTACGCCATTAGGATATCCGTCAACGAACATTGCTTGATACTAGTAAAAACAACTATGATTTATGAAGCCGATCTCTGTCAAAAAGAATGGTCGGAGAGAAGAGACCGTGAGTGATACAGTGCTGAGGTATTGCGCATAATGAAATCCAGTTCCAAGTTTAAAATTCTAAGCTATGTTTTTATTTTTATGCAAGAAAAACGATCGATGCCCCATTAATGTAGCAAAAGATGTAAAGCTTGATACCAATCTAGAAATCAAGGAAATCTGCGTGTGTGTCTGTTATCCTATCCTTCACTACACAGAGGAAGTCTCAACAAATATCGATTTCCGCATTGCTGTAAAAGAGAAAGATGGAGGGAGAAATACCAAAAGTTCCCATATATGCGCCGTGCCAACGCCGAGTTTTCACTCTCAGAAACACATACTGTCTTTGCCAAATGCATTTCGAAAGATTGTTAACATGTAAGACGCTGGAATTTCTTAGGGCCAGTGTCCAAATGTTTTGTCTCCTTCCGTTTCTGTAATCTTCTTTTTTTTTTTTCAACAATAATTTTTCTCAACTGCTAGGTTTGTGCAGTATTGAGGAGGTTGTTGTATTACGCGTTACCAAGTGAGAAGAAAGAAATTCTTTGTAAATTTTCAAGGTTTTCAGCCACTCTCTTTCTAATTTCTCGTGTAAAGTGAACATTGTGAAAAACGTGTCCTGGCAGCCTTCGTTAGAAACAAAACAAAAAAAAACGCTTTCATCCTTTACTAACTCCCTAAACAATAGTGTTACCACGCAGTAACGGGCTGTAAGTTGTTTTGTATTACAGTTGAGTTTTTTCGTTCTTTTTTCAGGAAAATATTGATCTTATAACTCACGGTGCGGTTGGTTACGTCAACCTTGACATTTGTGCTCAAGGTGAGCTACCATCGTAATTGTTTTCTTTATAAAGATAATCTCCCTTCGTTTTTTTTTTTTAAATTTATCTTCATGTATTACTTGAGCAAGGAAAGATTACTCAATATAAAGAAATAACGTGCAGTCTAATGAAAGCAAATGAAAGAGATGAATGTTAATCACCTCTTTTTGTAAGCTTTTAGCTTGGATCACTACTGCGTGATGGACGTTAAAATCGTCAGATGAGCGTGTCGTACGGTACCGGCTAAATTGTTTCCAAGCAGCGTATACGGATGCCGAACGCCATTTTAAGGCCACAGACTTGTAACGAGTATAGAAAAAAACTGCATGAAGTTCCGGGGAGCACGAACAGACGTTCATGATGGGGGAGTTGGGGTTAGGCGGATCAGAGAGGAACATCTGTTGTGACTAACGGTCATGTATAACTTAGTTTGGAATGACTGAGTTCCCAGGCGGCAACCTTTTTTTCGAGGAGGGCATTCAACAGCTTGTGCCACTTCATGATAATTGCTCATAGCTTAGCGGGGATTGAGGGGAGAGGAAGCTACAGCGTGCATATCAATTCTGTCTGAACTGAAATATTTTCCTGCACCTCTTATCTTTATTTAAAGGGCGATGCAACGATTTTTGTATTTTGCGCAAATACCGCTTAGGACGAATCCCTGGCGTTGATGACCTGTAAAATACCCGTTCGTTTTTCACCACACGCAATCAAAGTCGCAGAAAAAAATAAAGAAAAACGAGCAAAGTTCACCCCCTCAACTCGCAGCCGAAACAAGCGGCCACGTGATCTGCAGCCGATTATATTCCGCCACTGTTGATCATAGCCATGCGCTGGGATTGGCAATGCACAAAACACGCGCTGCGTTCCAGACATTGTTATGGTTCGGCTGTTTTCGTCATTGCAGCGACTGGACACGGGTCACTACCCGAATGCTTCTCGAGCTATAGATTATCACGAGCCCAAATCGAGTGCCCACGCAATGCTCGGGTCCAATCTATGAGTCGCATTCAAATATCGTCACTGGGCGGTACTGCTACCACCCAGCTACGTCATCAGGTTTTGCGAAGGAGAGATTGAATGAAAACGCTCGGTTTTGTCCTCGAAATTACAGCGCAACAAAAATGTTTCTTGGTCAGGGGCGTTGCGTGCCTTGAGTCCCACTAGTGACAGTAAACACATGTAAAGTGAAAAACTTTCCAATTGAATATCGTTGCACCGCCCCTTTAACTAATTCATCAGAAGTTAAAATTTAAAAAAAAAAAAATGACCCCTCATAGTTGTCCTTTAATGTCTAGGAAACATTGTGTACCTGTGCACTAGCAATATCCCCTATATTACTCTGTCGCTGGACGAGAACTAAAGGTTTTTAAAAAGGTTCGTGCGTTATAGACTGCTACAATATACCGGCTGTCTGGGTTACGATAAACTGACATGTCGCACCTGGTTCACATACGAAAAGCGTAAGAGTGAAAATTACTGACCCGTAAAGGCATACCCTAGTAACAATTCTTATATGAATAAGACATTTCTTGGTCCAATAAACACATATGATAAAATAAGTTATATGATCTTATAAAGTTCTTGTATGCTCCTATATGATCCCACTTTATTATATTCGTTAACTAAACCAAGACATGTATTATACTTACAGCATTGTCACTGGGGGTCGACATTTTCATTTTAAATTGGCAACTGTTAGGAGACCGAGTGATGGGATCAGGTACAGTCAGTGACACGGTTACAACGAAGTCAGCATGGGCTTATTTTTTCATGTTATATCGAAGGACTGTTGGCGGAAATCCAATTTTACCGTTCATGCTATTACCTTTAATGAACACTTTTAACCACACTATGTACTTGTTCTCGTGACAACCTTCGATTCTAAAAGATAAAGAACAAACTCTGAAAACCGGCGTTTGTTCATTCGCTCTAACTGTGTCGCGCTGTGCACAATAATGTTCCTTAGATGGTGACGCATACTAAAACTCTTACTATATTTTTTTTAGGTTCGCTGTTTGGAGCCGCGGCATCTCCTTCGTTGCGCAACATAATCTACAAGGCAAACGAAGTGGTAAGATAAATACACCATTGAATCGATAAATACACCTCCCTCCGAGCCACACCACCTCTCGCCACTCAAAGAATGAGAACTGCATGGCGTCTCTTTCGGATGCCCCCTCGCGTGCTCGTTGCCTTCTATTGTGCTCCGGCTGCACGTGCACGCTGAAACCTGAACGAGACGCCGAAGTGCTCTCGAAGGCGGGAGGGTCGCGTTGGAGGCGGATTATCTGAAACACCACCCTGCCGTATATCCTGCCAACGACTACGGAAGATAAGGCCCGCGTCTTTCCTCCTCTAACGCCATCACCGATAAGCGTAGAAACTGGGGGAGGGGGGTGAAATGCGAGCCCGCGGGAATGCCAGGTCGCCCCGCTCTAGTTTGAATAATTAGGTGGTAGACGCAAAGCAAGCTACCCTTGTCATTAACCACTGCCTCAACTCGCTCGAACGCGAACGCCGAACACCGGACGACGGTGTTAGGCGTTCCAAGACGTCCGAAGAGTGAATAGAGACGGAGGCAGCCGCCGTTGCTAATCATTTCCACTAATCAGTCCAGACAGAGCTTGGCGCTTAGGTGTCCCAGCGTGCTCTCAGTGGCGTGGCTTTTTTGAACGCCCGGCGCCCAGCACACGAACTATGGCTTCGCCGTGCTCTGGCTGCGCGCGCTGGTGTTCGAGGTGCGCGAGGCGTCGAAACGTCATAGAAGGCAGAGCGCGAGCGCTGGAGGGGAGGCAACTCAAACTCCTCTCCATTGTTCTCATCCAGTCAGTGACTGTAGACGCTTTACACAAGCACCTGACTACAGCCGTCGTTGCCGACCTTCTTTTGTTTTACCGAGATGCCGAGCCAATGAATTGGGCGTTTATGAGATGTTCACAAAGTTCAATGCTGTGGAGGACACAGTAGAACCTAAGATTGCAATGCTCATTATCAAAATCACCATGATTTCAAGAACGCGTTTGCCAACATGGGATAGGTAGGAGCCTATTTAACCATTATCTAACATCTCCACTTTTTTTCTTAATGGTGTTGTTGTAGCCACTCTTCTTTCTGGTGCATTCTTGCCCTGTGATGGTTCGCTTGTATGTTGTTACTTTGGGCCTGCAAGGTTGAAGGTCGTTGAAGTTCTTTGGAGGCGATGGATACTTCGCCAGTTTTTTGGTGAACCAATTTATTTTACAAACTATGGACATCTGTACAAAGTAAGGGAAGTTGGCATATTGGCATCGAACAGGTCTAATAGATGAACAAATTCAGTCAAAATCGCCCTCCCTCGCCCCATCCGAGGCTGTTGAAGACACTCCCTCGCCGTCAGGAAAGCTTCAACCAATAGTTTAAAACCCTATCAAAGTCATGTGGCGTCCACCCTCTACTGGTCGGCTTGAGGCCGACTCGGCCCAACATCAAGTTTGCAACGGCAACGGCAACGGCTGACAGCTCCGTAACATTGGCAGAGCCTTGGGTTCCAGACGGAGTGGCCCCACGCTAGAGCTCCTGGTCCAAAACTCGATCGTCACCGGTCTACCCTGTGGAACACTGAAATATACAACGTAACACGCGCACATACAAAAAAAAAATTTTTAAAAACCTTCGCGGAGGAGACATCTTCGCCGCGGGGTGCCTGCTCGTGAGGACCGCGCGGTCACCCGTCAAAAATTGAAAAAACAAAAACAGCCGGCTTGCGCCAACCTCCTCGCACCACCGCTGAGCCTAATAGTAGGATACCCTCAAACACCCCCCCCCCCTCCCCCCCCCCCCCCCCCCCACCACCTTTCCGGGCAGGCCCTGAGGGTGAAATACCCTGAGAGTATTTTGATAAATATATAAAGAACCTTTCCTGCTATTGATGAAGTGAAATGAAGAGAATACAGGGAAACAAAAGCTGAATGTCGTTCATGGCGGCGCCCAAGCTTAGCTGCTGCGCTATGGATGATCCGCGCAGCGCAGCACGGCTCCCATCTGCGTCGCCAAGCGCGCGTCTTGCTGCGTCCCACAACGAGTGCAATGCTAACACACGGTGACGCCAGCATTCACACATGTGCCGCTTGGGGCATAGTTCAGTCCAGCATCGGCGTTTTTGCCGCTTATGGCGTAATTCCGCTTACGTTGCCCTAATGTTCAAGCCTTCTCTTTTATGTGGCGTCGCTTTAAAGGGACACTGACAACGCCCCCCGCCCCCCACACCTTAAAAAAATATTATTAGGCAGTTTGTTATAGAGTTAGAAAACCACTCAATCAATAATTTTCTACAGCGTCACGCATATTTTTAATAAAGCCAAGTAACGCACTTTTCTTGAAACCGAATCCGAAACTGGACTGGGGAAGAAGAAGATATATAGAGGAAAGTTTTGCCAGAAATCACGTGGCTGTGCGACATGTTTTTAATGCAAAAGCATGAACTGGGGGGTCCAATGGAGCAAAGCCGCCAGCTTGTGTAACGGCGAGAAATGAGACCTAAATTCCCAACCTTCTATTGGCTGCGACGCATAATATATTAAAGTCCCATTGTCTACGACGCGTCATATCAGATGCTTCGTCACGGAAGCCTGAGAGGCCGCTCCAGGTCAAGGCGGGAGCACCTCAAAAGTAAAACACAAAGAAAACCACAACAACGCAGATGCATCTTCACGCACTCCCGGTGCCGCACCGAGATTCGCACTCCCGCCGCTGCTTCACCCAGCAGCGCAGCGGTCACCAGGGAGCCAGGACGGTCTGCGCGGCGAAGCGCCGCACTCCTTACGGGCGCTGCGGCCGTCTCTAATCCTTTCGGCGCTGAGAATGCTTTCGCATTCACAACTCATAAGAAGTGCTGAGGCCTCCTCGGAATACTTTTCAGTGAACGTATTTGTAGTCTTTTAAAAGGCACAGAAAATGGGTATCATAATCTTTTTTTTTAATTATTTCTAACGTCGAGTGTGTACCTTCGATGACCCACGACTTGGAATATATTAGGTGGTTGTATTTAAACCATAAGGAACGTTATATGGCCATAGAGACTGAGCGCGACTCAAACTCGCCAGTTCTCGATCGGCGGTTTTCGAGGGTAAATAACATAAATTTGGAGTCAAAAATTGTGTTCTGGGTAGTTGGGTTCTCATATTTCATGTACAAATAAAAACACTGGCAAGTATAAATACCCTGCCAGCGTCCCCCTAAAGGCTATAATTGTGGGAGCAAGTTGTATGCTAAAGTATAGGTCTATGAAAGCCTTTTCTTCTTAAGTGTTTTAGTAAACTGTCTTAAACAGCAAATCAGTACCTGTATTCATGCCTCAGCTTCGAATGAAACAGTCGAAAGTGATGCCGAGACTAAAACCGTGACTTGGGAAAGTTACAAAACCTCTTTGAAATTAAATTTGTGTAAGAATTTGTATAAAATTTACTGAAGTACTACTGGTTGAAGCGTTTGTGATGTCTTGGGGACGCCAGCAGGATACCGGCCTTCAGAGGTGACAGTATAAGTTGCTGGATGAAACGAAAATCTTCAGAGTGGCAACCTGCCTCACGATTTAGATTTTCAAAATTACAGGGCCGCTTAGCAGCATGTTAAACGTAAAATAGCCGGTTCTTTCTTTTTTTAAGGCCTTAAAATTTGACGCGTACTATCAAATGCCTTTACCCTAACCTATGTCGTGTATTAATAAAATATACTACCAGAAACGCCGCATTAGTACACCGTTTTTTCGATAAGCTAAGAGCTCCGGACAATATGAGTAGTAGATGGCTACCCCCATCTTTGAGCGCTACTTTTTTCTTAGAACTCTAAGTGGCATTGCTGGTTAGCGTAGAATCTGAACATGTTTCTCTTATAACTCGCGGTTCGCAGCTGAAAATAAATAACATATTATAAGCACGCTCAAGAAGTCTGATGTATAACGTATGGGCTGCGCCACTTAACGATTTAGTGGCCAGTTTGTGCATCTACAAGTCATATATTGTCTAGATAGGACATCAAATTATATCCTAGCTTTCTATTTACAATGGTGCGTCCTGCTGAACTTGTAAATTTATTTTTAATATTTATTATTGTTATCTCACTGAAACGCAGTTTCCTGTCGCCGGGAACAGTTGTGGACATGCTACGAACGACTGCCAGAGGGTTGACATTTCAAGGTAAACATCAGACGAAAACACGAAAGAATAAAACAGAAAAATAAAACAGACGAAATTGTCTAACGTATGTGGACAGACATTCACGAGCTTTTAACTATACATCGAAATGTTATTATGTTCACTGCAACTCGGCAGCCATTTTCGGTTCATATTTTCCTTCAATGTATACCTTTTCTGTGCGTTACTTTTTTGTGTAGCAATGTAAATGCTGTGAAATTGCTATGAACATCATTATATTAATTGTCTTGCTAGTTGAGTCATGAACTTTAGAGTTGTTTGTCTTATGTCCTGTGACTATTATTTCGTACGTTTGTATGCCTAATACCGTTCCCTCTGTTTCGCATACGGTTTATATTCAGCCAGAGACGAAGGAGATCTGGGAACAGGCTGTCAGGTTACTCAAAGCTTAGCATGAAAATACAACTTGACAATTTAGGAAGCCTCTGAAAGGAGCCAAAAACGTTCCGTTTTACCCAACGTAGTAGTAAAATCACGGATTACAAACGTCAGCTTAGTTCTAAAATAGGCGGCGTTGAAGGCTCCAAGCCTGATAGAGAAGTATTCACTGGATACGTGCATACGAGCGAGCCCCTATGCAAAGTTTTCTTGTAGAAGTCTTCGTGTGTCCCCCGATGTGTGAACAGTCGCGGTAAAAGGCAATACAGTATAGGCAACATAGTTGAGCACTACCGCTGGCTACGCAGTTGCCGCCAACAAACGCGCATAATTTGTAGCTAGAATAATAGAATAATTACGGGAGGAGTATCTACTAGGGGAAGCATGAAGAATGCAAGAAATCACTCTTCAGATTTCAGTCGTAAAAAATCGAGTTTACTGAGAACTCTATGGAGACCATAGGATGGTGTCAGCATATGTAACGTAAACCCATGCCGTTTTGCGTCCATGATCGTCTTTCGTCCCAACGGACTTCGTCACTGTCGGTGCTGTAGCACAACCGCTAAAAAATAACCTCAACTCGAGTGCCTTCAGCCTGGAACAAGACTCCGAGTGACGTGTTTACCGCGTCGTAAAAGGTGGCCCACAATTTTCACTTGATGACATCATAGAAGTGGCGCGTTGTCGTCTGCCGCTACCCCGGCCAACACCTCCTAGCTAACAAAGGCGTAGCGCTGAATCAGATGGCGCGCCATCAGCGAAGGCCAACGCTCAGAACACATTGGACGCGACGATCGCGTTAACGTTCCGCTCAAACTTGACTCAAAGCCGAGCGCTGACGCAGCACTCGTTTCCAATCTGTGTCCAGCATTGGCTTCTCTGCTGACGTAAAAATGTCAGCACTACGGCCTTGTCTTCTAGGCGGTGTTGCCCTGGCGGTGTCGCAGCAGCGGTTGTTGATGTGGAAGACGCCTATTCTGCTGGTGGTCGCTCTCCAGCTTGTTAATTTGCGGAAGCTTTAGCAGCCGTGGGTTGGGAGGCCGCCACCATAAGGACACTCACATTCATTAGTGTTTCTTTACTGAACTACTACGTCCAACCACTAGGATCGCGCCATCCGAAAGCATGGTACTCCTGCTTTTGTGACGTCATTTGTTGCCACTTCGTAACCCCTTTCGATGAGTAGTCGTCAAATACATTGGATGTAAGAGGGCGAATTTCAGATATTGGTTCTAGGCAACGTTTTTATGTCCATCAGTTGACAGGCTACACGGAAGAGCAGCGTTCGAAAGCAGTTCTACTCTGTTGCCTGCATGCGAGCAGGTGAGGCAGGATAGCGTTACTAGCGCCACCAACCACAACGCCACCACGGGCAACGGAGAAGGACCGTTTTCGAACGACGCTTTTTTTTTTTTTTTTTGCGCAAACTGTAGTGCGATCTTAATGTTTGCCAGGAATACCACACTAGAAGTACTTTGCACCGCAGCCAATGTGCATCGAACGTTCCACCGTTTCCAACGGTTCCGCCGCTTCTCTCCATAGTGCGCGTTGATAGAGCAGCGAACACCACCAAGCGCACGCGCCACGAAAAGGCGCCAGGGGTTCTAGGCAGAGCCGTGTATACAGAGAGTTTGGTCAATGGGAGGCGCGCGCAGAGCCAGGGCGTGCACCAGACGCAGGAAGTGGGCTTGGGATGCTCTCTTGGCCAACCAGAGGCCTAAAAGAATCCCCTAGTAGTGGTAGCAAGAAACATTTTTGATCAAAGGCATATGCTCGTATATAGTGCACGTGATGTTTCAATCACGATCATCCAAAATCATGGTGAAAGAGCGCGACTAGCGGAACGATCGACATAATCCGTACGCCAAGCGCCGAGGGCCGGGAATCTGCCGTCCGAGCGGTCGCATTCTGCCCGAGCAAAACTGAGTTGAGCGGCGCATTCGTTTCTTACATCTTTCTGCGTGATTCTGATCGAAACATTACGTGCACCTTACTTTCAACCACGAAGGATTACTTCGTAAGAGTGAGTGTAGAAACCCTTCGTGGTTGAAAATAAGGTGCACGTGATGTTTCGATCATGATGTTGCAGAAAGATGTAAGAAACGAATGTGCCGCTCAACTCTGTTTTGCTCGGACAGAGTGCGACCGCTCAGACGGCAGATTCCCGGCCCTCAGCGCTTGCCCTACGGGTTATGTCGATCGTTCCGCTAGTCGCACTCTTCCACCATGATTTTGGATGACCGTGATTGAAAAATCACGTGCACCATATTTTTAGTCACAGTGAATTACTCCGACGCCCTTATTAATTTCGTCTCTCGCGACCACCGCCACGGTATTATTTCCGGCTTCTGGTTGGCCACATTCGAATTTGTAAAGACGCCCTGGAACACGCCCAGCCCGCTTTCGGGCAACGGCGCCTCCTCAGTTGTCTCCTATACTCCCAATGAATGGCCAAACTCTCTACATATACGGCTAAGGTTCTAGGAAGCCTGTCCACGCACTTTGATCTAGTAACGTTGGGTTCTAAAAAAGGGGGGAGGGGGGGGGGGGTTCCTAGGTGGCAGGAGAGATTATGAGAAACATTCGTGGCGACCGACGCCCTGGAGATTATGCCGGCCTTCGCCGCCGTGTCACATGAAGCGAAAAAAGAACTCAAAGCTACGGCTAATATTCCTTTCCAAAAAGACAGAAACATAAAAATAATTCGTTAAAAACAAAACGAGCGAAAAGGGTTTAGGGGAAGGCGTCCGCCCCCCCCCCCCCCCCCCCCCTTTAAGGGAACCAGTCGGAGACGCGTTTTAGGACCCCATTACCTTATTTTCTTCATAGCTGCATTCCCTTATGCCACACAAAAGGAACCAGTCGGGACAAATACCCCTGGTTTACCTCACTGGCATTTCCTCCGTCATCTGTGTTCCTCGCCTTGACAAGAAAAAATGTTTTAAGTTCTTTGTATTATTTTGAGGTAGAAGTAAAAAATCTGCCTCAGGCACTTTCAGTTTGTGAATTCTATAGGGGGGCTCGGTTCGGGAAACGTGTTGTCCACCTTATAACCAGATTCGTACAGAAATGACATATATGGTCATATCAAGAATTTGGCAACATGGCTGAAATGCCATTTCTGACCCCATATATAAGATATGGCTAAATATGACCCCATATATAAAATATGAATAAATATGACATTACTTGCCCTATCCCGGGTGTGGCCATTTATAGCATTTTTGTGCGGGAGCTTCTCGTAGAGAATTCGTCACCTTTACTTGTTGTCAACCAATCGTTAGAGCCAATCGCCACCTTTAGTAAAAGTGTCGTTAAAGAAAAACGCTCGTATTTACAGTATTGATCGAAGCTCCTAACCATCTCTTGTTGTACTCCTTAATCTCTCAGCTACATCGGATTGTCCGGCGCTGGAAGTGACAATATCGCGTTCAACCTTTTCGCTGGAGTACCTTCTGTGGACTTCTATTTCACGCCAGACCCAGTAAGTAATTTCACGTTTATATATTTCTTTTAAAATTAAGTCAAGTTTACAGGTGAGCTGGTTCAATATTGACATGATAACCCAGGCACGGGGAAAAAACGGGACGGACAACACAAAACGAACTGAGATGTTCTAGCAACGTTGTCCATCGAGGAGAAGATGAGACCCTGGCGCCCCAAGCAGCTAACTTTAGAACTACATCGATGGGGACAACAAATAACAATGATTCAGCGCTCGGCCGACGCAACCGAACGCCACGTGAGCTCCGAACTCCAAAACATGTACGAAGCCAACAGGATTCGAAATTTTTCTCTATATTTCATATTATGTACGAATAGTGTATGCGTATAAAGGGTGGTGTATTTTTTTTTTTTTTCTTAGTAATGTTTGGAACATGGAAACTTATCCTAGCGATCTAGTGGCCTTCACTCTGAGTAGGATTCGTGAACCTGCCGAGGTACGGTTTCGACCCTCTTCAACATTTTCAAACTTTTAACGCGATGCTTGACGAAAGTTTGACATGACTTGAACTATTACGACAATCCGCGGAAATAGAAAAGCAAGCAGACGCCGCCTGATGGAGTAGGGTGCGATATTTGTCGTGATAATATTTCTTCGCATTCACGGATTAACTAAATGAATCGTATTACAATGTATACACGGCGATAATTCCATTTTAAAATGTAAAATGAACTACGATGTAACAAATTTATTTCCCGCGGTGTAATTGTTTCGTGTACAAATAAGGCAACACCGCATAAGAAGTAAAGATATGAGTTTTACCAAAAAAAGTTTAAAGTTTGTCAAACTAGTCGGACATTGAGGTTTGACGTCGAAGCTCGCGTACAATAAAAAAAAATGTCTGACATCCCGTGTTCCTAGCGAGACCAGGCAAATGTCTCGTTCATTTTTTTGTGCCACCTTTCGTTATTTTCCTATAACCATACGAAGTCGGACATTGTTTGCAGCAGACATTATGACCGTATTATTTGCGGACACACTCAAAGCATGTTCTAATCATGTTTGCTTCGTACACACGTATGCTTCGAACAAGTCTGTGTAAAGTTTTTTTGTATAACAAATGTAACAAACCAGTCTTACACACACAAAAAAAAAAGAAATTGAGCGGTCCCGTGTTTATTCAAAGTACAGTCCCAGCGAGAGATGCGACACGTCACGGCGAAGTCGTTGGTGGGCATCGGGCGTCGCGTTCACGAACTGTGGGGTGCGTGCGTGTGAACGCGGCGCCAATGTCTGCAACAAAATAGACATCTGACCACTTTGCTCCGAACGTCTTTGTTTCTCTTTATGTTCCTGAGCGCGTGAAAGAGCCGCCTCTTAGCACGAGCCCCTCGCATTGACAGTACTGAGACGGCATCTTGTTATTGTCTGCTAGTAATTTTTTTAGAGAGCGCGAACAGCGAACATCGGGTGCTCCGAAAAGTCCTATCGCATAAAACGGGTTGTTAACGCTGTGGCGTATGGCTCTGTGGTAACGCCTTCGTTTCGCCCGCAGCGAACCCAGGTTGGATTACTGCAGGCGGCGGGCGATCCTTCTTTCCAGGATTTCCCAACATCGGCGAGGGACAGCCTAAACACTACTGCGGCAACTACAACTTCAACAGCGACAACTATAACATTATTGCCCGAGTCCCATTGGAAAGACAAACAAAAGCTACCGACACGCGCAAGCCTCTAACACGTGCCGCGTGCTCGTGTAAAGTATTACTTTTGGCGGGTGTTTAGTCGTTCGGTGCTCCTGTAGTAAGCACTAAAGTCACTAGATCCTCGGAAAGTAGCGCCATTGCCTTTCCAACCTGCTAGCCGCACACAAACAGATACTAACATACAGACGACAAAAGAACCTCGTAAGGCAATTGGTTACTCCGTCTACGTTGCAATGGAAATCGCCATCACGGTCCATTAAAATCTTCGAAGCTTCCAAAGGGCGTTCTAAATCAGTTGTGCCAAGAGCACCATGGAGCGTCATCGTACTGTAAGCGTTCCTCGCCAATATAAGCGTTTTTAGCACTGTGCACGCAGTCAACGTATCAATCATCCCCATCTCCAAGTATCTCTTACAATTATATTGTTCTTACGGATTTCAAAACAGAAAGGTTATCTTTCAGTATCTCCAAGCACCGACAGAGCATGTGGTGGTGGTCGGATGATGTAGCCTTGGTTCGCCGGTGCGTGGAAAACTAAATTTTGGTATACAAGAAACGTTTCTATAAAGCTACCCGCCACCAGCGAATTTAGATCGGTTCGCCAAGAATGGAAGGGTCAAGGAGAAATTGCTTATTTCAAGGACCAACATGGCGACCATACGAGAGCTTGGCGCTACTTTCCCAAGATCCTGTGACTTCAGTAAGCACGAGTAATTGCAAACCTTCAAAGATATGCCCTCGCGTGCATAATGCTCGTCCTTCAGTATAGCCTCCTTTATTCTACAAAGACTGTCCAATCGCGAAAAAATCTGGTTTGAGGCTTGTCGCTGTCGGTTGTTTCTTTTTGTCGCTCTAATAGGGCTTGGTCACAATAACTACAACATCAACAACGGACGCCATTTCCGGTGGTGGGAGGAGCCATAACAACTATCGCCGTAAAAAAAACACGCCTCACACTGTATACTGTGTCTTGTCTGATGCACTAGCAGTTTGACCGCGTCTTAATGTAGATGGCGTTTTTTTACCATAGGCTTTCTCTAAAACGCAGAAAGTAGAGGGAGTATCCTCGTCGCCTTCTTACCACACGGCCTACGAGACGCTGGATCTCTACCAGAGGTTCGTGGACCCGGACTACGCCATAATGGAGCGGTGCTCGCAGCTCGTCGGTGCTTTAACCCTGTCCCTGGCAGAGGCCGAACTGCTGCCGTACAACATGACGGACCTCGGACAGGCTCTGCTGGAAGGCTTCGGAGATTTCCAGACCCACATGGAGGACTTCCAGATGCACAATGTTTCCGCCGGTGCGCGTTCGCATCTTGTGCCTGCATCTTACACCGCCTATCACCATTTGACAAACAGCAAACGCTATACGAACAGAGCGAGTCAGTTTTAGTAGCCGGAGTGCAAGCGTCCTCGGAAGAGCTATCCGGTGCTTCACTTGATCGCTCGAATTGGCTAATTGCCTCACGAGGGCTGTAAGGTTCGTCCATTTGCGAAGTATGCTTAAACTGAGATTAGGTTTCGTCTTGTCAGGTATTACTACACATTTATCGGCGCGTGCACGCGCTCGAAAATGCCAACGTGCAGGAGTGCTGTCGGGGACGGACTCGGAGAGCTAAACTTATTTAGCATCGTTTTACCAAACATTTTTTCGCATTCCCCAACATCAATTTTACCACAATGATGTCGGCGAGAAATATCGTGTTTCAATGATGATGCAATCTCAGTTGCAAACAGAAGTCCAGTTCCATGGGTGGTTGAGACTCCGTAACCACTGGAGTATAACACTTACTCTACGAGCTGAGATAATCATCGATGCGCCAACCCGATTGCGACGCGATCTAGATGCAAGTATTTACGAAAGTAAATCCTGTGAGAAACAAGTTTATTCGAAGACTACTGACCGTATATTTCAATGTGTTTTACACAGTCTCAGTTGCAGGAATAAAGGGCCCTCTTACCCGTTTGGTGCTCAGAAAAAACCTAAGTCACGTCCGCTGTTCTATCACTGCACTCACTAAGAAACGTAAGGCATGGCCATTCTCGAACATTTCTTATTGGTCGAGCACCCGTTGAACTGCGCCATTGTTAAATAGGAACGGTAAAAACCGAGTCAGCGAAAAGAATCGTGAAGGTTTTATAGTGTAAACATATATTTTTAAACGATTGGTAGCTTAATACGGTCGGGGCACAGCACGCTCAAGCTCCTGCCCTAGTAATTTGTTCTTCGGCATTCTTATAGACTAACGCCGCAACCTCGATGGCGGTAACAGAGGCCATAGAAACTCTCAACGACCTGCCTTTTCCTACACTGGCAATGCCTATACATGGCGTACCTCGGACTCTAGGAGTGTGTATTCTGCATAGGATTATGCCTTAATGGGGATAGAAAAAGAGTGCGTAGATTCATTAGGCCTTCTTGCTCGCAGGTTGGCTCGAAAAAGAAATTGGCCTGTTTGTGCAAACAGCCGATGTTTGGCACAAGTGGATTTGCGACCGCAAATCGTTCGAGTAAGTGCTCGAAAGGATTTTCTTTTTTTTCAAAACATTTTGATCATTGGAACGCAATATCTGAAACAAGACGGCTTTTTTTTCAGCGCGGGGACGTTACGCGTTATAAACAAACGAATGATGCTGGTAGAAAGGGCATTCATCAAGCCGGATGGGCTAATGGGAAATCCAATCATAAGGTAAGTGACTTGATAAGTCGTACATCTGTGAAAACATGTTTAACTCCAACACCTCTTTCGCTGGCTATTATTCCGATGTCCTTGATCGCACTCAACATGTATGACCTCCCGTGAACGTTCAAAGCCCCTTCTAGATGACAGTGTTAACCTCGATCGAGAACGAGTTTATTTAATGTAATTTTATTTTAAGTTGTTGCCGTAAGCTCTGGGCTTCAAGGGAAGCTGTAAAAAAGTGTGACGTCGTGATTCCTAGGTCGTACGTCATTCATCGTGTCTGCGTTTGCTGTTTCTGCGCATGTGAGAACTTAATGTGGTGCCTGCTGCTTGTAAACGTTTAGCTGCTAAAACATCTTCCCTAGAATGTTACTAAGATAGCAGGCATCTTTGCCAGTACTCTTTTTTAGGATGTTTTTCCGCTGCCTAAGGATGTGGCTGTAACAACCTTAAGGTGTTTGCCCTTGGACAGGCTGATTTACACGCTTAAAGGTGTAAATTGTTTTAGCGTGTGCACCAGTCTTACGCATCTCCATGTCAGTAACTGCTGCTCTTCGCAGGAATCTTGCTTTTGGCGTGTCAATAGAGAACTCCTACAAAACAGTGGCGTTCTCAGCTCTGCGCCTCCAGCTCTACCAGGTGTCCCGTATGAAGCCCGGATCCGGCGAAGCGGCTCAGGCCT